AGTAATCCATTCAACACAAGAGTCACCTTCCTCAAACGTTTCCTCTCTCCTTCATAAACGCCTAGACGAGCTTTATTTGGGTCAGTTCAACAATTAACATAAATCCTCAACACCATGGCCATTGGATATCGTGAGATTCTCAAACTGAGACAGCAGGTGTGGGTGCCAGAGTTCGTCACGGAGTTAGTCGCAGGCATAAACATCGTCTAAAAGTCTATCGACATCATGATTTGTGAATAAGAACTGTAAATCCACTAGTTAAGTTAGTTGATTCTCAAGAACTCTCTTTTTCTGCTGTGTAACCTTATACTGCTCAGTTGAAGATGCCTTTCATTCGTGGCCCAGGGAATCCTCCCGATACTCACAAAGAGTGGTGAAGGTCGCTGCTGGAGGGTGCAAAAGACTAGCTGTATCACTGCAAAGGCCCGCTTCAAAAGACCATCTGCGTCTCTTCGATAAACCAGCGGAAGCTAGTGTGAAAGAGGTTCTACAGCGAAAGAGGTTTCGCAGCGAAAGAGCCCCTGCAACGAAAGGGCCAACGCAGCGAAAGACGCAAAAAGAAGTGAAAATCTCCAAGCCTGAAAGGGTGCGAAAGAGCATTCGCAGCGAAGTGTGTGGAAAGCAGCCGAAAGCCTGACAGCACGTGGTACTTTCAGGAACATTCAAAGTACGGTCAAGTTTAGCGATGAGAGCTGAATGCAATTGCATTGATTAAATTCAGCTGGATACGGCCAGCTGAGCGCGTATACCTGGGTGGCCATATATGCGTGTAGAGCATTCACCGAGTGTACACTCGGTGAATGGACCAGTCCATTCACGGAGGTGGGGTGCAGGGGTGCACTCGGCGAATGAACCAGTCCAGTCACTGAGGGTGGGACTCCGTGAATGGACCGGTCTCTCCGCGGAGGGACATCCTCCGTGACTGGACTAGAACAGTAGGTATGTTCCAAAATTGCACATGTGCGTATCTGCACTCAATTGCTAGTCTCGTAGCTTGTCATCTAAAATACGACGTTCAAATGAAAAGGGGAAAGTTCCAAACGTAACCTTGCCTTATAAGTAAATAGATTTATCATCATCCATCTCCAGCCATCTCCGTAGTAAGTTATAAGCACCGCGGTGGTCCAGTGTCGTCAATATCCACGCCTCGCGCACACAGTCAAGCATCTCTGTGATTACTGGAAGGGGATACAGATTCTTCACCGACACTAAGTTGAGCACGTGGTATTTGATACAATGTCTTAGGCCACCATCCTTTATTTTTGCAAAGAGAATCGGTGCCGGCGCCGGCGGTGATGACCGCTGAATAAACCCATTGGCTAGATTTGCCTCGATGTAAGCCTTCTTGGCGTCCTCAATTCGAACTCCGATGAATTCTAAATCCGCCCATAACCATCCGTCTTGGACTATTCGTTTCCGGAATGTGCAAATATGCACTCGTGTGGTCCACATTTTGTGGCTTCTCCTGTAGCACTGTAAGCTCTCTAAAGGCCGTCTGTACTTACCTCCATGTAGTTAAAGTTCCCTTCGACACAACTGCCGCCTCTCATCGCACTCCCGTAATCCATTTGGTGACATAACGTCGATCTTAGGAAAATACCCACTGATCGACCTGTTCATATGGCATGGGATCTTTAAGTCCAAATCCAAGATCCGGCTGTTGAGCACGCGATCGTATTCCACGCTATTTCGCGAATACCACTCCGCGCCACCATACCAGATCATAGTAGAGCAATAGGCTCGTACGATCATGACCACCAAAAAAGAATGCCGCTTGATGACCATTGCAGTCTCCAGTCCATTTGTTTTTTGAGGAATCGTCATTTGACATGGTATCGTCGTTTTGTCAACCATCATTTCGATTGTTTTTGCATCAATTCAGAGGGGATCCCTTGCGGTAAAGTATTCTGTAGATCATATGTGGCTTGTAACGCCTCCGCGGAACTATCGTTTCGAGTGCTTTATCGTCACTCCTGCCGATAATCGGAATGCTCGATGGCGATTCTGATGATATGTGAAACTCGCTTCTTAGATCCGTATGGATTCGTATCACTCCGTAACTACTCCTTATGGGTGTTAGCCAATTGTAAGTGCACAAGATGGAGCGGTAGATGTTGTGGAATCCAGGAGCCTGGAAAAGAACGGTTCGCCACAATAGGGCCAAGCCTCACCGTCCACATACTCCTTTCTTGACTCGGCAAGCTGGTAGTTGTTAATCAAATATACCCTTGGATGCCTCTTCTCGCCACTACCACCGCTGCTCCCTGCTCGCCCATCCAGCGCCTGGGGCCTATCTAACTGACCATCAGTGATGCCTTCCACGTCACTACCCGCAGCCCTGTACGAACAGCCACTCTTAGGAAAAACGTCCATCAACAACCTCTCCTTGGCCAATAGATCGTCTAAAGCAGTAGCATCAAGTATTTGTATATATGGAGTACAGCCGCCTTTGGAATGCGCCTCCTCCCTAGCCGTGATCCAGGTACATTCCCGGGGCATTCCTGATGGTCTACCCGGTCCACTGCCACCTCTTCCGCTCACCCTGGGGTTCGCAGAGCCAAAAGTCGAATGCATTTGCAAGTCGACGTCAGGATTCCTGGACCCATTCCAATGCAACCCAGACACCAGCTTCACACAGTGCGTCCACAGCGGCTGCCATGATTTGTAACAATGAGCCTCAGCGAATAAGCCTCAGCGAATAAGTCTCAGCGAATCACGTACTTGTCTCACCCGATTGGGACTGTCTGACAACCAAACGTCCATTTCCACCTGGGGATACGACAAGTATCAATTGAACCTCATCGAACTGTATATGCATTCGGAATCCGCTGGTGAACGGAGAGTGCCCAGACGGTTCCCCCACCAATAGCCCAGTGGATCATCGGATTCCCGACTATAAACCAAATCATCTCCATCGTATTCGTAGTAATCCGCTTTGTATGCCATCTTATGGGCACATATCTGCTAGCCACTTTAGAACCTTCAGGGGTAATACTTCCCATTCAGAGTTGTAGCACGATCTGCGATGGCTGCTCCACTATCTTCAACTTTGTCCATCCATAGACGAATAATTTTCATAACTGCCTAGTTGACTGGTTCGAAGTCGTAACCATAGAGCCGTAGCTTCTGTAATGACCTGATCATGTAAAGCTGTTTAGGATCCCGTAAGACTTCCATAGCCGCTGCTGCAAACTGCTTCCAGCCTTGCAGTACTTCCAACGTAATTGTTGCCTTCACCGGTAAATCGAAAGAGCTTCGGCCTACTCGGCTCTGTTAGCCTCGACCGTGTGTAGATCCATTGGCGAAATGATAATCCTCTTCGTGAAATGTAGCCTTATCGACTTCGCGCTGAGCTTGATTTTCGAAGATTAACACATTCAGGAGTGTCAATTATAGCTTTGCCAGTATTTCACGATCAATTGACTGCCGTCAATAGTATCTGACTCGTCTCGATAGTTCGCATATGATTGCGCTCGTTGGACAAGGTTCGAAGACATCTCGTGAGTTGGGTAGGATTCGGTATTGCCAGTGACGCGTTTCTCGATGTCATTTAGGCTCCGGAATCATTCCCATAATCGTCAATTGACACAAGTGGATGGTAACTTATCCGATCTCATCGCTCTCACGATTAGTAGCCTTTAAGTTCTCCAATTATGAAATTGTCGTAATCGACTTTGTTGCTGACACATCTCCTGGGCAATTGGCATCCGGAATCAACTCGAAATCATCTCTGCTACCGTCAACTTCAATTGGGTATACTTATCAAGAGTCATCGTTCATGCAATCGGTAGCTTTCAAATGCGTAAGACTTCTCGTTCGGATGTGTTGCGACAAATCGAAAAGGGGTAATTCGTGACATCCCATAGGCGAAACGTATGAAATAATTAAAGAGCGATGATAGTGTAAGAGTGTACAGCCGTGTACGGCCTCGTATAAGACTATAAGAGTAGACACAGTTGCAAACGTGGTTATGTGAATATAATAGTGAAGTGTGTATGTCAGATTATCACTGGAGTGCAATTGCACTCCCGCGAAGTGACTATATCCTGGGCGGTTACCCGGCCGCCATTACACAAATTGATTGGTCACAGCACCCAGCTGAGCGATGGGACATTTCCCTGGAGTAAAGCATATACTGTCTGATCAGCGGCACTCACTGGGTGCTGTTGAACCAATTCTCGGCAAAGAGATTGATTTTCCAAGTCTAAGATGACATATAGATAAATACACTTGAGATTGCCAAACATAACACAAAACACGTGATCATGTACTTGAAGAATCATTCTGACAGACGCCACCTTGGAAGTTATTGAGTGTGTACACTCTGCCACCAATCCGACAACCTGTACCTGAAGATTGCACTAGCAGTGCTCTTTGGACCTCACCCGTAACCATTGTACAGCATTTCTGTTAGTTGGTATTGGTACTTAGCACCACTTAGATTGCAGTTCACTTTTTATATTTATAGATTGGTTTTACACAGTGCAGTACAGTTCTTCCCTCAATGACACACCAGTTTGCACTATTGTAAGGCCTGGTCCCTCTCAATCATGGGTGCCGAATTCAGCATTATAAACGACCTCAGAGATACATGCTTGGCCCATTTGTTATCCTGTGGTCAAGTGTTTGCAGTTCAGGCCGGCAGTATCACTGCTGGAGACACCAAAGTGTTCACCTCTCTTGGAGCAGTTGCTTATTCTGCCTGGATTTCAGTATGGGAAGCCAGAAACAAGACACCAAATCGTTTGTTTTCCTCTCCACTGTCTGATATGTATGTTTATCTCTAATGTGAATATACGAGAAGGCTGCAACTTGGAAATACCACATCTGTGATCCACTTGTCAGCAATATTTGGGAGTCACCTCGTGCACTCACATGTCGCACAATAGCAGCAATATCACAGGAAAGGTAAAACTAAATATACCAAGGGATACAGCGAATCAATTCAGGCTAAATACAGCCGACGGATTTTAATGGAATTGTTGAATCCAAGAAAAGAATGGACTGGCTAGGAGTCGAACCTGGAACCTTTCCTATACAGAAAGGATGCGCTACCGTTGCACCACCGGCCCTTGATGAGTGTAGATTGACATATTCCAACACTCCCCCTCAAGCCACACTCCATCTGGTGTGCTATCGCTAGGGCAAACCCACAAGCCATCCAATCATTTCTGCAATGGACAACGGGTATCACTAACCCGGGCTCTTAACCTGTTGAAACCAAGAAAAGAATGGACTGGCTAGGAGTCGAACCTAGAACCTTTCCTATACTAAAAGAATGTGCTACCAGTGTGTCACCGGCCCTTGATGAGTGTAGATTGACATATTCCTACAGGAATGAAGTTATCTCAATAGATTCATAGTAATCACTTCGTGATACATGCTGAACTATATGTCGTCAGAGTCGGCATAGATCATTCAAATTATAGATCATCGACTAGATGAAAGCAGTGATTGGGGGATAGTTTAGAAAAAATTATTCAGACAGTGTGTAATTTGAATGCGATGGTTCATGCCGGAAATTATAGGTATCAATATTGCTTCCATCGAAAAGTGGAAAATATTCCATCTAGCATTGTTTTGAGATAATGAATGCTATATGTTAAATGTCCATGCCTATGGTCACAGGTGGTTTTGGTTTACTAAGGGTAGAATATTTGATTCACCTAAACTCTGATATAATTATGACCAGAATTTCGGAAGTGTTACTGACAGTGTTGTAATTTGCTTACCTTTGTAAGGACGGGTACGGGTCGGTACAGCTCCGTACTCCAGAGTATGAGTAGATATGGTTGCACATGAGAGTAAGTGATGAAGTCATACATTGTAAGGTAAGATGATCGTTGGAGGGCAATTGCACTCCCGCGAAGTGACTATATGCTCTGTGGTTACCCGGCCCTGGCTGGCTGCCAATACATCATCCCCCTCTGAAGCTGCAGACCCCCTTGGCTGCCATACCCGTACAAGAGAAGAGGAGGAAAGAAGATCCTGGCTCATACGGCCTCGTAAATCCCGCAACCGATCGGTACCGCTCAAAGGTGACCTTTCGGTGGATCCGGTACACAGGGAAACTCCACTACCAGTGGTAGGTGGTAAAATCCTCTGATTGGCGCGAAATCCTTGAACTCCACCTCCTAGTCTCCGAATCCAATCCGTTCCCGCAGCAGGCATCGTTCCAAGTCCACCTCCGAATGTATCCCCGAAGTCACGTTCCAGCTTTTCCATATCTCCGACTCTAAGTTCACATTCCTCCAGATCGAAGCCATTGCTCCCGATAGTGCCGGCTCGATGGAGCTCATGTTATCATTGGCTGCCGCAATCGATCATACGTATTCAATTTCTCTCGTTGAGCACGTTTCAGTCTTGAGGTTGGCCACCATTGCCAGTGACACATTCTTCGGGCCGATTGGCCTCTGATTTATCTCGGAATTGTCTCTGCAGCAGTCAACTGGCTTCACTGGGTATACCCATCTTAATCATGGTGGCTGAATGATAGGCCATGCTTCCGGGCCTTTGGCCATCGGTTGCCCTTCGACTTTGCCCTTCGACCCTTGCCCTTTGAGCCGGTTGCAGTGCAAAGTACCCTTCGGCTCCAGGTACAGCTCAGATCCGAGTACGCCATCGGGTAAGCCTGCCCGTAAATCTTCGAGTCCATAGTTCCCAATATCAAAGTGGACTTCCAGTTTCTCCGAATCCGAACTTCCAAGCCCACGGCAGACCTCATTAGTGATAGCCTTCGCGCTCGGCATTAATCACATGTCTCATTGATTGGCTCCAGATTGGTTCATATATTGGCTATCCGGATTTTCTTTGTCTTCAGCTTTGGGTTGCCATTCGGCTTGAGATCCAATGGTGGTTGATTTGTTTCAGCTTCGTCCAGCCTTTGATTGCAGTCATCGTATACCGACATGCATTCGTACATGTTCGTTCAAGTTGCAGTATCTAACCGTTTAGTATGCCATTCAAGGTCTTACTCACGATATGGCTAAGTATGCTACAACTCAAGATGTATCAAGGCATCCATTCTCCGGTTCTCATGCCCTCGACTTCTGAATTGGTGGACCGACTAAAGTTGTCGATTTGCAAGTTCGATTTATAGGATCATGGTCGTTCACATGACCCCAACACGGTGTAGCATCGTGGTTTCGAACGGTGGTAGATGTCAGTGCCGACAGTCATGAGAACTTCAGCACATATCATAGCAGTGAAGGTCAACTCCGTGTTAAGGAATTGCCATCAGGAATCCATTGGCTTTCAAATAGTTCTCTCTTAATGGAATCTAAGAACTGCTCCATCTGAGGGCGGCAGAGGGACGCCCATTGAACTGCTCTCCAAGGGTAGTATTCATTGATACATCTAATTCGTAAGCACCCCGAACGAGGAAATAGTTACCATCTGATTCGGTGCGTTTGAACTCTCGGCTCGGAAGCCCTATTGTGGTGTCCTCTTCATACGTCCATTAAGGAGTTTAGTCAGTTCATATACCGCGCAGCTTGACATATCGATTGCTGGTGGGATTTACCTTCCGGCTGCTAGTACTGGGTATAGTTGATGCCATTGTCTTTGTCAGTTGCAGGCGATTGTGCGCCCAATCTATTCGGTAGTGCTTTCTGTTTGGTGATGAAGTCCAGCACTTCCGGTGTAGATTTCGTTTGCAGTTGCGGTGGATTTTCCTGTTTCCGGAACTGTCATACCCCTCTTTTGAGGTCGGCGCTCCGTCGACGACATGTGAGCATGCCAGTGCGTATGATGTGCATTCTCGTGTCGAATTTCTTATCGAGTCTCGTTGATTTTGACTGTTTTGACTGACATCGTAGCTCGATAATCACAGTTGCAAGTCTCACAGTATCATTCATCAAGTAAGTGATTCCTTAAGAAAGGGGAAGAGTTGAAACGTAACCTTATATCCCCATATCGACGAGAAGACTCTTGTTATCCTTCTCCGAGTGTGTGCGATTGCACTCTGCACTTGTAAAATGCATTTTGCGGCTTTCCCGTTGCTTAATATGGGCCACCCATCTTCGAAGGGTATCAGTGGTGCTCGCATTCCAGGGCGGTCATCCCCTTCTTTTGGAGATTGGTGCTCCTGCAACGACTTGTGAACATGCCGGTGATTACGGTATCGAGTCTTATGTCGATTACCTTATCGATTCACGTTGATTCTTGCACTTTCGGTTGTTATCATTGCTTGATACTGGCTCCAGCCTTTAAGGTGACAACAGATGCAAGCCTAAATATATGTGCAGACTATGAACTGCAAATCAACTCTCTATCGAGAGAGGCTAATTATTCTGGAGGTTGTCAGATCAATACGATACTACTGGTATTGAGTCAGAGAACTATGAGGTTGATGTCATGACGGATGCCAGTGGTTGGATTATAATCTAATGAGGTCAAGATGACAGAGGATCAAAAGATGGAGGGCCGTGGTAGTGAGGAAGGAAAGGACATTGGTTTGAAGGTGGTTTGAAGGGGGTTGGAAGGTGGTTGAAGTTAGGGAGCACTTGAAATAAGTGTAGTTGGAAGTATTGGTTTGAGTGAAGCCGAAGGTATAAAGACCTTCGGTTCTTCGAGGGTAGAATCTTATTAACCTTCTCAGCCAGGAGAATATACTTTAACAATATATTTATTGGAGAAATCCTATTCTGTTTGTACAGAATCTTTTATTGATTTCCATATCCTGAATGAAACTGGTAACCTGACTGCAAAGCAGTCCTGAATACAGTACGGATACTGCTTGTACTGAGTAAACCTGGAGTCACCCTCCTAGTGTACATTACATTGTTAGGAAAGAAAAGCTTCCCTCAAAGATCTTCTCTCTATTCACTTCGATAGCTCAGGCAACCTTGATACCCTATATCTCCCACTGCCACTGATGAGTCAACTTTTTCGCTTTAGCTGGAACCCCTAAATAGTTTGCAGAAGCAGAACCTCTCAATGGCGTTGATAGGATACTCTCTTGAAGGAAACAGAAGAATCTTTCGAAACTTAGTTTTGTAATATACCTGATATGTCATATCTGTGGAACCTCTACATGACTGATATAGCTGGCCAATCAGGAGGCCTAAATCTCAACGATACAGTTTTTACTAAGTATTGGAAAGGATTCAAATGGTTGAATGATAAGTGCGAAGATCAGGAGGTCTGTTATCGCAAGCACAACTGCAGAATCACTCACCAAACGATTGGCAGAGCTACAGCAGTACACGAATTCATAGTTGCAACCGAGACTTGTAGCAGAGCAGAATCAACATCATCATCTATCATAAAAGCCATTTACAATTGGAATTGGTGAATTATATCGTACTCAATATCATCTCTATTGAATTACCCATTCCCATATATCTGATGCAAACTGATGAATACCTCTCATCCAGACTATGAGCCATCATTACATCTACCACGCACAGCAAAAGCTCTATTCCTCTTCTTCCATTCCACCCCTGTTGAACGATTTCTTGTAGTTCTACAATGGTACGATTTGATAGCAGCATTACAGATGCCTATACTGCGATTACATGAGAAAATACAGTAATTCCATCCAGTGATAAGTGCAAGCAGGTGATACAATACAAGTCCATCACAAAGAAAGATATTCCGGACTGAGTGATTCAGCTGTCAAATGCAATCAATGGAGAGCTGGGAGGAATCGACATACCCATCCAGAAGAAAAGGGAAAAGAATTTTGTGATAAAAATGGCCCGTCCAGAATTGGCCCAATCTTACAAAGTGTTCATCATAAGGCAAAATGAGATATATGACGCCATTTGCCAACGAATGGAAATGATTGCAAGTGTTGAATTGGAGCGGCATTCTGATTTAGTGATTAAAGCACAGGTATATGCTGCTAACATCAATGCAGCCTGTGTTGTGATCAATGCCCAATGTATCAAGCATATAAGGAGCTACAATTAGACTTGAATGAGCCAATCCAATACTCTGGGATAGCCTGGGGAATGCATGTGTCTCTGCTGGAAAATAGAGAATGAGCCCGAGAATGCCTTTCCCTCCAATCGTGTATGCTGTGGTAGCAACTTGCCTCCATATAGCTCACTTTTGGAGCACAGGCAAG